ATTTGTCAAATCTTAACACTTCCTTTTTTTTTTTTTTTTTTTATGTAACATGTCCTGAGGGGATATGGTACATAAAAAAAATCCTTAATAGCTGTAAGTAATGTTTTTGTCTTCTTCATATAGTCTATATATTATTACAGAAGCTCGTTACGTAGGCGACTCGCTGTTGTTTTCTCTCTCTCTCTCTCTCTCTCTCTCTCTCTCTCTCTCTCTCTCTCTTATTTTCACTATATTCAATCCTCCTTTTCTCGTTGTCTCTACGAATTCTGACACTGATCGATTTAAATAACAACGAACACGATATGAAAATTATCTTGACTGAGTCGTTTTATGTCATCATGCCATGTGACGGCTTTGATTCCATAAACTTTAGGATAAATTAAACATGACAATTTATCCAAAATGTGTTGTTATAATTTTTTTTTTTTTTAATTTCTGAAACCTGTTTTCATTCTCCATCGCCTTGGACTTTACAAAAAATAAAATAAAATAAAAAAAAAAAAGAAAAAAGAAAAATCTATGGTCGATGTTACCAGACCAATGAGTCTTACTCTTAATAAATTCTTAGAGCTCACTAAGTTTCGTTTGTTAATGTTTTGTCAGGGTAAAAATTAGATCGAACAATACTTTTTTTAACATTTTTTTTCTGTTTGTCAGGCAACTATAGAAAAGGCAGAAATACCCGTGTAAGTTGTTGAAAAGAGCAAAATAAACAAAAAGAAATAATTAAACACAAATAAGAGGTAGACAGAATTATACGATAACGCGAATAATCCTTTTTTCATTGACAGCCAGACAAAACTTCACTTGTAATAATATAAATCGTCCGGTTCACACTCCTCTCCGGTTTCTTGAAAAGGACTAATAGTCTATCCCTTGTTTCCTGTTTACGAATGTGTTTCCAGTTTCCTCTAAAAAGACTTCTCTTCTCATTCTTTTTCATTCCCAATATAGCCTATTGCATCTTAGTGGCATTATCACTTTGCGTGGGGTGAATTGATTAAAAAAAATAAAAGTAATCGAATTTAAGGGCCGAAAATAGAAAGCAGAGGGAGAGAGAGAGAGAGAGAGAGAGAGAGAGAGATTACGTGACTGTAGTTTACAGTATGATAGAAAAATATTTAGAAATAGTTGAAGAGCATTATTGCATGAGTGGGGTAAAGAACCATTTTCTTCAGAATTTGTCTTCGACTACCCAAACATACAAGATGGTAATTAAAATTAATTCCATCACGGAATGTAATTGAATTGAAACTAAGAAATTATTCTTTTTCTTTAAATCTTGAGGAATAGCAATAAAACACGTGTTTTTCGAATAAGCAAATAAATTACGCACAGAGAAACATTTTTTAGCTACATATGTGCATGTATGCGTGCATGTGTATTTTAGAATAGATTTTTTTATTAATCCGACAGATTTTTCTTTTTAATGGATACTCATATTTGAGTAGACGCTCCGTTTATTTATTAAACAGTAAATTTATTTTAAATAAACGGAGCACCTACTCAAACACGAATATCCATATCGTATCCTGTCAGCACTCTTATCTGCAGCATCCAGTAAAATAATGTTTAAAGTTAGGAGATTAAAACAAAAATAATGAATAATTATTAAGGAAGCGTTAATCTGTATGGAGCACTTCTTTTTAAATGCTACGGACAGTGGAATTATACACCATTTGTTCTTGTAACTATGTTTGAATAAAAGACAGACCACGTTAAGATTCCATGTAATAAGCTATTTCACCATAACCCCTTTAACAGGGTTCTGGATCATCAGACTTTACTTCCAAAAGCTGAAATGAAAATGAAATTTTGGAAGTAAGGTCTGATGATCCAGAACCCCTGTTAAAGGTAAGTGAAATAGCTTATTACATGGAGTCTTAACGTGGTCTGTTTTTATTCAAACATATCTGCTCTGAATTTTACATTGAGCTCTCTGGTCTACCCATACGGATTACCTAAATTTATAAACTATATATATATATATATATATATATATATATATATATATATATATATATACTACAGTTATAAGATTATATATATATATATATATATATATATATATATATATATATATATATATGAAAAGTGTCTGTATATAAATATAAATACATATATCGCAAAAGTGTGAAACCCAGGGTCACAAACTCACATCAATTCAAACATATATATATATATATATATATATATATATATATATATATATATATATATATATATATATATATATATATATATATATATATATATATATATATATATATATATACACACACAGATAGATAGATAGATAGGAGTAATGGATAGCGGCTTGGATTGTGGAATCGGAGAGCCGAGTTCGAATCCATTATATTCACTTACGTGCTAATACCCTTGGGAAAGGTGTGAATCCTCTTCTTCTTCCTCCAGCTATGGGTAAATAGCAGGACAGACTGGGTTTTATAGCCTTGGGTGGCAACTGGTCTAGGAGAAGGACAACTCTGAATTCAAACCCGGAGTGGAGCCCCTAAGGCGGATGGACGGCACTTTGTGCTACCTTCCGGCAACTCCTGCAGCCGTGCTGGTACCAAACTGTATTGGTTTATCCTCTCCTTTGGACTCTGCTGGCAAGGCCGAAAGGGGGAACTAGTTCTCCATATATCCCGCGCAGTCGGCGATGACGACGATATATATATATATATATATATATATATATATATATATATATATATATATATATATATATATGTGTGTGTGTGTGTGTGCACACACACACAGAAAATGTTTTCTGGCTCACTGTACAACATAGTGGTTTATTTGAAAGACATATTTCTATTGATTTTTGAGTGTTTACGCTTCTTCAGGTATTAACAATTAATTAAGATTATATATGAAGCCAAAAATGGTGACAGTCAATGGGATACTGAGAAAAGACATTTAAGGCAAGCAGTCTTTGCAATAAAGTGCTCGATATCAAAAGATAAAAGTTTGTCACTTAGCTGACTGATGTTACCTTCGGCATCAAACAACTAAGTGACAACCTTTTATTTATATTTATATACACACACACACACACAATTATATATATATATATATATATATATATATATATATATATATATATATATATATATATATATATATATATATATATATATATATGTCCTTCAGTTATGGGTTTTGAACAGCAGAACAGACCTTGGTTGAAACCAGTCAACCGCAGAGAGAAATGGCAACCTATTGCGGGAGAATATCTGCATCGCCAGGTTAGCCATCCATTGAAAGAGACATGATCGCCCAAACGCGTAACATGTATGGCACTTGACTGATTGATGATTTAATTTGTATATATTTCTTGTTTCTTATTTAGTTGTCATGTGGGAGCACAATAGATTTTTTTTTTAAATTACGAAATTTTTCGGCTGTCCTTGCAGCCTTCGTCAATAAGATATTGAATAGTATTTATTTTAAATTTTATTGAACTGGGCGAAATTTAAAATCCAACGGACAATAATATTCAAATTCATATTTTATAAAATTTTTCAAATTTTCAGAATTAGTTGTTTTATCAGTAAATTTGCCAAAGTTCATACTCGAAAGTACTCGGAGAATAAAATAAAGTAAAAATAGTTTATGAACTTTAGCAAATTTACCGATAAGACAACTAATTCGAAAATTTAAAAGATTATAAACATTTGATTTTGAATGGGAAGGAAGTGACTGTTTGAAAAATTAAAAAAATTGTCCGCTGAATTTGAAATTTAGCCCAGTTCAAAAAATACTAACTATTCATATTCAATATCAAACATTGACGAACTAAAGTCTGATGATGCCGGGTTTATGGTTGAAACATACAAGTTTTCGAATGTATGCATATTCAATTTGTATGTGTATGTGTGTCTCCCTCCCTCTCTCTCCCATATGTATGTATATATATATATATATATATATATATATATATATATATATATGTAAGCGAGAGAGAGAGAGAGAGAGAGAGAGAGATTTAATATAAGTTGACAAGTTTAGCAAACATATAAGGCATAGCAATGAGTAAGGCAGTGAACCATTCCGGGAAGTTAGGGAACAAAAGAATGTCGTATCAGAGAAACAGTGAACCATCGCTGAAAAAAAAAAAGAAATAAAAATAAATGTACGAGATTATTAAACGTTAATGCTAATAACAAAACACATGAGACGTTGGAACAAGAAAACATCTCACGGAATAAAAACAGAAAGATAAATAAAAGCTCAAAACTAAAAACATGCCCAAACATAGCTAACAGCGAGGCAGGGAATCATTCTCGAGGGCTTGAATTCTGTAAAGAAATGCTAAGAGCAGCGAACAGAAGGACAAGCAACCATCGTGCTGAGCAGATGTCGTCATCGAAGTGAACAATAAAGAAAGAAAGAAAGAAAAAAAGAAAGAAAGAAAGAATGAGGCTGGTCAGTGGTAAAGTAAATAAAATATAAAGAATAACTGTCATAGAAGGAGACATTTTTTTCAAAAAATAAAAAAGAGAGTGAGGTTTGAATAAAGAAAAACAAAAAAGTCTCTCTAACTTACTAAATAAAATAAATACTACACGACAGACAGAGATCGAGAGAAAAAAAGAATTACTGATTTTTGAATAACGAAAGAATAAGTTGTTACACAAATAGCTATTATGACACTTAAATGACAGCGACGCATTCCAGAAATTACTTTACATTGAAGAGAAATTGTTATCAGAGAAAGAAAAGTGAAACTATGTAATAATAAAGAACGTTGAATGAATGAATGAATGAATGAACGGATGAATGAATGGAAATAAGAAGACTACAGCAGCGACGCGAGGACAAGTAACTGAACCAGGCTACGCACCGAGGCAGGTAATCTTTCCAGACATAAAAGCTGTTAAAGAGAAAAAATCCAATCAGCAGCAGCTGTAAAGAAAGAAAGAAAGAAAGATAACTCAAGTGAGAGGAGGAGAAGGAGAAGAAAATAAAGAAAGATAAACTGATAAAGTGAGCGTATGACGAGCCGCAAAGCAGTTGAGAAAAACCAAACAACAATGGCGGACAGCACGTTGCCGCTGCAATACGAAGCCGTGTTCATCTTGGCAAACGAGGGTCTCGATTCCTACTGCGAATATGTTGAATCGAACGAAATTACTTTCTTCCTCAACGACGAGGAGGAGAGATACTTTCAGGACCAGGGTCGCATCTCGTCCAGCGAAAGGAAAGAATTTATCTTAAAGACCAGCCGCTTGGTCAACAAGAAACCTGGGCCTGCAAGTAGCAGTGGTGGCGAAGATCAAGGAAGCGGAGACAATAGTGACAATGTCGATGCTTCTTCAACAACCACCACCACAGAGGATAAGACGGATAACATCAGCAAGGAAGATGCATTGGACTCTACTGATGCCAGCAATGTGGTCGGGATGGACATGTCTGGAGATTACACCTTGTTCACTAAGCAACCTGTCTATGTGTTATTCCAACCGCCTCTTTATGATGGCCTGCCCCACATTCAGGATTTAATTTGCGAAAGCATCCTTAATGCTCGATCTAATATTCGGATCTCAATGTTCGTCTTCACGGACGTTTTTATTTACAACTCCCTGTGTCAGGCGACCACTACGGGGGCTGTTACAATTGACATACTGCTTGATGCTACACAGGTAAGATTTAAAAACAGAAAAGGTGTAAAAAAAAAAAAATGTATATTCAATGTTGTTAGTCTTCACTCTTCAATGTGTATTATCACACTGATGACGACACTTGAATTTTCTAACTCTCGAAAAAAAAACTTAGTTTTGATGCTATTTTTTTTTTTTTTAAATAAAAGGGTGAAATCTTAAAAAAAAAAAAAAAAAAAAAACAGCTATGAATGATGAATATTAAATCCGTCAAGAAGGGTCTTGTTTAAAAAAAAAACTTGCTTTTATAATGACCTTATCTTAAGGTGCTAAAAAGATAATATTGAATAAGTCATTATTTCAAATGATTTCGGCATAGCAAGCACTGATTTTTTTTTTTTACTTCTTCCTACATTCTCTCTCTCACTCTTATTTTTTTAACTAGCCTCATATTTTGAGACTTCGCTTAGCCTTAATTTTCTTGCATCTGAAATAAAAACGGAAAAGTGCGTCCAGAATGCAATATAATTTATTTCAATTTTCCGTAAATAAAAATTGAACCGACTTCCTTCTGCAAGCATTTAATACTTCACTTACCTTTGAGGGCCTCAAAATATGAGGCTAGTTCAAAAATATAGGGGAAATGTAAGGGAGATAAATCAATGTTTGGTATGCAGAAGTCATTTGAAACGCTAAATTTAACAATATCTGAATTTTAAAAAAAACATTGGGGGGTGCGAAAAATTTATATTCTTTATGATTATGAATATCGCTCTTTCACTTTCGCCATAACTCATTCATTACAACAATACAATAAAAAAACACTGAAAAAAAAAAAGTGAAATGATGTCATTTCTCTTTGTTTTTTGTTTTTTCCTGTGTTTTCGGAAAGGTTGAATTTTAAGTTTAAGTAAATCTTTAAGTTAACTGAGACACCGTTATTGATCATATTTTATACTGGCAGGTGGCTCATGATAATTTAAGTTTATATTTTTGTTTATTTGTTTAAATAAAACTAAAAGCCAAACCCCCAAAAAAAGTGAATCATATCCCTAAGTGTTAGAGGATTTTCATTCAACTGTTTAAAAAGAAAATTCGTATTTGATGTTTGCTGCTGTAAATGAATAATTTATTAATTTTAAATAAAACATTGGTTCCCGTTTCTGTCATAAAAAATAATCGGTAAATGAACTGAAATAAGTCAGTAATAAATAAATAAAAAAAAAAAAAAAGAAAAAAAGCTAACATATTCCAAATTTTAAATTACAATGTAAGGGGGGGGGAGTTTGTGTGGGAGTTAAAATCACCATCTCAAAATTACAAGTGGATAACCAAAAGGCCAACGAATCTTTCGTCTGAAATGTGACTGGACCACCTTGTCCGTAAAATAAATAAATGCATCGCTCTCCCACGACTGATAAGGATATTATTTTTTTGATTGATCTGAAAATTAGCCAGATCAGTTGTCTGGATTTTAAATTCCTCATTTCAAAACTTTTCCTTCCGTCACGGAAAACGTCGGAGAAATTTTCGGTTAAAATACTAACGCAAAAAAAAACAAAAAAACCCGATTGGTCAGAATTCATACATAGGATTGAATAAAGAAAGGGTGTCATTTACGTAGGCACAAATATTGTTTACAATTCTTGCAATCATGCGGAAGCTATGCCAGAATGCTAGTCGAGAAATGATCGCTCTCGGCTGGGCCCGTGGGAGAAAGTCTGATGTCATGGAAGCCCGAAACTTTCTATGACCACAGAATAGACATCATTAAGGAAACATTCTGGTGCGCAATATCTGCGTACAAAAAAAAAAAAAGAAAAGAAAAAAAACTAAGGAAAATAGGGACTCTTTTTTTGTTTTTATTGCATTGAAGAATAAAATTACTAAAATTTTGGGTATCGATAAGTTTCAAACAATCTCTGCATACCAAACACTGATTTACTTCCCTTACGTCCCCCCCTTTTAACGTTTTTTATCAAGTTTCATATTCTGAGAGTGAGTTATACTTTGAATTTGCATTCAACCTCTGAATTAAAACGAAAAATAACATCTGAAACCTTTCTTTTCTTTTTATATGTAAAAATCTTTTTCTTTAAAAAAGAAAAAATAAATATATTTCAATTAAATTAAAATACTGATCTGAGATCAATAACTTCACATTTCACAGAAACAAGAAAAAAAAATGTCCTTGTTTTTGATTTCTAGGAACATTTTCACTTGACATACATTCCTTCATATGGAAACAATTTTTGATGATTATCATTTTGGTTCCGTAAGCTTCTTTTTTACTTAGTGTTTCTCACAGAATATGAGGCCTGACATTTTTTTTTAAGGGGGGGAAATGTAAGGGAGATAAATCAATGTTTGGTATGCAGAAATCATTTGAAACGTTTAATTTTTTAACTTAATACTAATTTTACATTAAATAAAAAGTCAATTCACTATTTAGTTTACCGAAATCAATGGCTAAAAAAAAGTATATTCCCAACATTAAAAGCACCATAATGACTGGCGACAATTTGAATAACGTAACAAAATAACACTTCCGTGATTGTTCGTTTCTACTTTCTTTTTTAGTAAGTTTTTTTTTTTTTTTAGTTTAGAATTCAATTCACTGTCAATTGCAAATTTTAAAGAAAAGGCAAATCTTTCTCCTGTTTACGGTACTTTTAACAAGACACATCTCATCTTTTCCTCTAGTTCACGTTGGTAAATGTAGGACGTTTTCTTGACCACATTTTCTGCAAGGGTGGATCAATAAATGTGTAGCCTCGCACAGATATAGCTGAATTTTGATCCAGCCAGATTATTGTTCGTTTTTTGTGAATAAGTTTAGTTTATTTTTATGTAAAAAGTTTTTCCCATCCTTGCAAACTTGAGCCGTGTGACTATTTTTTATTACACTCGACATTCTCTAGTTTAAGGTAAACTGGAAAAGGTACACAGGTGCTTTAGTACTATGATGTTTAGTTTTTACCTCGATGACCATGAACCAAAAAGTACACAAAATGTTACTTTTGTTTAAATTTTAATGGATACATAGTTTCATGTTGTGAAAATATACCAATGACGAAATTGTATTCTTTTTTAAAAATAAATAAAATGTTACAGATGGGGGCATAATAGGCCGTACTACTTAACGTTACTGTGTACACAGACAAGGAAATCTTTTTACCTTCATACAATAAATGCTGTAAGTAAAGGTTTGTTGGATAGTCGTGTATTTTAGTAATTTTTGAAATTCAGGCATTATTGTTTTACTTAAAGTATACATTGACAATTGACATAATTTGAAACAAAGAATAAAAAACTTTTTTTTTTTTTTTTTTTGTTCCACTGACCTTACACCCCACAAGTTTGCATTAGCAAAAAAAAATGATTCATTACAATAACAGGCTACAATTTTTTATTTTTTTTTTCATTGTCCAATATCACTATCACCAACCCTATACTGAAGAAAACTGACATTTTGCACGGACAGGAAATAGTGCAATGCAGTGGTGTTAATATATGCACCTTAATAAGTCATATGATGTTGGTTACCTTTCTTTCACACGCTCGCATTTTTTTTTATTTCTTCTTGGTTAACTAGCCATTTAATTTTAATTGAAACCATAGTGCTAGTTTTTTTATCTTTTTACAACTAACGTTCTACCGTTTTATAAAGTTCCCTTTTTTTTTCTGTCTTTAAATTTTACGGTGATAAACATATTGTTTGTTTTTTTTTTATTTTTTTAGTAGCACATGTTCATACATGTATGGGTCAGTTCAGTTTTATGGAGCATACTGATGAAAGACTTTCCGAACGTTTTTAAAGTTAACTTTAGGGTGAGGGTTATGGAAAAAATCTTATTGAGGCAAAGAAGTTAACTTAAAGATTACTCGGAGTTCAAAACATTTTTTTTGGGGTCATATGAACAAGTATTACTTTGACAATTTCATAAAGGCTAATTCCGAAGGACATCGGTATTTCAAAAACAAGATTTTTTTTTTTTTTTTTTATATATATAATCTTATTTAGGCCTTTCATCTTTTTGTGACGTTGAAAGTTCATTTGGCTTTCCCTTTTCAACTTAGTAAAGTTTGCTATTTACATTAAGTGAGAAACTGTCATTTGGTGGGGGGGGCAGAACTTAAAAAGGTTGCTGTCTAATGAATTATTAGTCATTTGCTTTGATACGTCTTTTCAAATTTTAGGGCTGTTTTTTTGGCGTGGGGGGGAGTTTTTTCTTCTAAAATGAACTGGAAATCACCATTTCTCTTGTCTCGTACGAAGGGTAAAGCGAAAAGTGTCTTGTCACGTGGCTACAAGTAAAATAATCATGAAGACGAATTATTGATGAAATGAAAACAAACGTTGGCATCAATTTCTGAATCGATTTTTTATTTCTTTGAATTTTTTTTCACTTATTTTGTTGTAATCGAACAAAAAAGTAGCAACCACTGTGCAATACTGAATTCTTTAATGAATGTTTTTATTCGACAGCAGAACTAAGTTGTATAATGTTTAAAAAGAAAATCCTGAAAAAAAGCATGGTGCGAATTCCTACAAAGGAAAAAGACTCCTCGTTTTCTATCCATAAAGATTTATAGTCGTATCTCTGTGTTTAAATGTTGTGGTTTTATTGTTTTCATTGTCTTTTCCTGTTTTAGTGTGAATCTTCGTTAATTTTATTGACATTTAACACCAGCAGATCGTGGGAGATCTAATGACAGTCAATTTCTAGTGACATCCGTACTCTGTTCCAGCTGATGAACCTCTCTACTTCCAACCTCCTCCACATTGCCTTTCTCTTTCTTTCTTCTTTTTCTTTCTTTTTTTTTTTTTTTTTTTTTTTTTTTTCTCATCTTCACATTTTTCAGTCTTTCTACAATTTAACCCACATGGCATGACATGGGGACACTGTCTCTTTTCTCGACTTCTTTTCCTTCTTGAATATACGTGTATCTCTTATCAACGAACCCTAGTTTCACATTCCTGACATTGACAGAGAAAGAAGCTAGGGTTTGATAGGGCACTTTTTTATTTTTTTATTTTT